ATTTGGTAGGCAAGTCTAATTTCATTGTATTCTTCCTAAGATTGTGAGGATTTTGTTCTTGATGCAATATTTTTCATTGGTAAAAATATCTTCACTGTTTTTAAAGAATCCAATAAATAAACCAAGCACTTATGATCCAAACCCCAAAACAAAACCCAAAAACCAAAACAATATTTTGGCGAAACTTTGGTAGAAGCAATCAAATTTGACTAACACACCAAAATTGTATGTGTCCGATGCATCCACAAAAAAGTGACATTAAATGAGTAAGCTGTAGAATTTCAATAATGTTAATATATTTATAACCTCAATAATTATTGTTTGGGCACCTCTCTGTTCATTAAAAATCTCTCTTAAAAGTTTATTTCAGGCCAAATTGTATGTTTTGTTAAATATGTTAAGCTAAAGGATTTGGTGTACAGTCTAATCTCCCATAGCCCTTATCAGATTGAAAATATGACATGATATTCACCTACATTTGAATTCTTTTTGTTTACCTAATTGAAAAAGAGTCCATCTGACAGTTGAATTTAATGTTGATCATGTAGATTTTTGGCATTTTTTCTATTTGGGAAAGACATTAATGGTGTGAGTAATTCAGCTGTTGTCACTTCAGTTTATTTTAAATTTAAGAGGATTCACACTTTTTCTTGAAATTTTATCCTTACAGGATTTCAAATGAAAATTTTATTTGGGCTCTCAGCAATCAGTAAGTTCTTCTTTAATTGATCTGGTTGTATCTCATGATGGGAACCTAGATAGTAGAAGCAGACAATGCTTACACTTTTAGAAACACCTGATGGTACGTCTCTTTGGAGGAGTCCACTAGTACCCTTGATTTTGCCATTCTGTTGACAAGATTTGTCTTGCTCTTTTTTAACTATACACTTTGGCCTGATATTCTCTTTAGATCTGTTAATTTATTTAAGTTTGTTTTTTTGTTATTTATTTATTTATTCTTTACTCCTTAAAATATAACCTCATTGCTTTTAGGACCCAGTCAATACCATTTTTAACAGAAGGGATTTTGAATATTATCAAAATATTATTGTTTGTTTATTACAACTTTTAAACAGAGAATCTCTTTTTGTGGTCTGAAAATTACTAATTGTGATTTATTATAGACAGAGTCAAATGCTTTGGCAACATCTTATAATATATTGAATACTTTTCTTTCAAAAGCTGTTAAAAATGAGTGTGTCAAAAGTATTCAATATGTTTCACAATGTCTATTAGTTGAACCCTGAATTTTTTTCGTAATTAGAAGTCCTTAAAAGTCTGTTTTCCATATTCCATTTTCAATTTTTTGAAACATTAGTTTGTATTGAAAATTGAATTGAAAGAATAATTATATTTGGTATAGAAAAAATAAATGATCTACAAAATTTGATGTTAAAAAATGATGACTTTGCAGAAAGTTCTTATCAATGCACATTCAGATTTGGAAAATGGATAAGCCTTTTAAGTTTTTACCATGAAACATGGAGACAGTAGTTCAGGACTCTTTCTGTTATATTTTGTTGGACCAATACTGGTAATACTCCAGTAGTTTATTATGGGTATTAATATTAGCATTTGTTCTGTAAATATATTGGGTTATTGTAAATAATGTATGGTCTTATTGAAAAATGTTCTAGAAACCTCATAACTCACTCAGTTTAATATTTTATATTTAAAAAAGTATAAATGGATATGGAATTGATAGGTACATAAGCACAAAATAGATTGCCAAAGCTTCATAATATGTAAATTGATGAAAATAATGTGGAGAAAAGGACAATCACTTTAGCTATTACTATTCTGTAAAGATCTAAGTTCATTGAACAAGGCAAGGTCCTAGGGATCTCTCACAATTTTAGTGGTGAATGAGGAAGACACTCCTTCCTGAATTTCTGAGAAAAATATAACACTGTTTATAAGTATAATATCTTAATGCATTAAACTGTAATGTATAATATACATCTCCTCTTTTTCATATACACCATTAATGATGGATGAATCCATTATCTGTACAGTCTAATAAAAGGGATACTAAGTTAAAGGGAATGTTAAGAGGATTTCTAAAAAAAAAAATGATGTGTATCAGGGATACTGATGGCATCAATTTTTACCATTTCAATTTTAAGTCAGATGTTGCTCCTGCAATTCCACAAAAAATAAATGCTTGATGACATCACAGATCACAAAATATGCTTTATCACATTTATAAGGCTCTTAGCAATTAGTGAAGTCATCAAACACTTAGTTTCAGTGGAATAGCAGGAACAACAGACGTCTGATTGAAAATTGGAATGTTGCAAATTGATGCTATCAGTGACCCAGACACACATAAAATCTTTACAATTCCTTTAACAATCTGGTGTTTCTGTAGGTCAAGCATGATCTGTTTCTGACTCACATGTTTTATCAGTATATGAGAATACTTGTATGTCATTACCTAAATTATAAACAATCTTTAGTAAATTATAAATAATATAAAATATTTCAGTGAGTGATATTAGTATTTATTATAAGAAGGTGCTGGTCACTAAATTGTGTTCTATGTTAGTGTGTTTCTGTACATATTAGTTCAAACTTTGTTCAAATTTCATTTAGTAGTATACTCTTATTCAGTATGAATAAATTTTCATTAGTTCAAGGCATATAGTGGTCTAAATACGTAAATTGATAGAGTTCAATCTCATCTACCCTTATCACTTTACAGAATTGAAATCTGAGGTCCTATTCTCCAGCAATTCAACTAAATATTCAATGAAAGGCCAGATTGTCATTATTATCAGGAAATTTACATTGTCACTTCCAAGATGACCTTGGTCATTGATCACAAAATTCGTCTGGAAGTGGTAGAGCTGGACATTTGATTCCAATTGTGAAAAGTGTTAAGGATAGCTAAAATCGAGCTCTATTATCTGGTAAAACAAATATTTAGACAGATATAATCCTTTCAAGCAGGACATCATAGCTGCTTGTCTTTATTATTATCATTATTATTATTAATTATCTAACTTTCATTTCAAAATAATTAGATTTTTCTTCTAAAGTTTAAAATCAAAGAACAGGGAAATGAATTTTGGAATCCAATTCTGAAAGTGGGTTTAAGATTTGATGGCGCCAATAAAAGTGATTCCAATATTTTTTTGCATCTTCATCTTTATGATATCTTTGAAATGCTATTTCGTTTCTAAATCATGTTAAGTTCCATATTTCATGAAAAAAGAGATAAGAATATTTTCAAGAATAAAATGATTCCTAGTCATAATATGGTAATATATTTATTTATTTACTATTTATAAAGAATAAACAGTCTTATTCAAATTAGTCAAAACTTTCATTCTGTTTTTCTAATAGCTTTTATTTCTAATATAGCCCCTTCAGTTAGGATCTAATGACAGCCATCTAGACGGTTCATCAAATTAACCTTGTGACCTAACTCAACCTGACATCTGCTTTAACCAATAGAATTTCTACCCTCTCCATCTCTGGCATTCTATAACATGGTGTTTATCAGGTTAGGTCAAAAGGTTAATTCCACAAACATTCAAGAGAGCTTTATTGAAAATTAAAAGCTAATGAAAAACAGAACGAAAATTTGGTCTAATTTTAATTAGAGAATATTGACATGATATTCTATAAAATAATAATTAGATCTTTCATTTTCAATTTTTTTATGTTTTAAAACTAGAAAATTGCCCTGAACCGAATTCAATATCAGTTTTTTTAATGCTGATTTACATTTTCTATTGTAGATGGGTCTTATTACAATTTTAAAAAAAAATTAAAAACAATGTCTATCTTAGTTGGGAATCAGGGAATTTTTGGGTACAATTAAGTCTTTGTGATATCCTGATTCTAGAAATTTCAGGAATATTGGTTCCACAAGTTTAGTGTTTTCATCTCTGATCTCTTATAAACTTAACCTAGTCGCTTATTTCATTTTTAACTATCATTTCATCTAAAAGTTACTATTGCTCTTGTTTTTTTCATTTCATTTAGTATTAGTTGCTTTATTGATTATAAAAATGTTATATGATGGGCTCATAAAAGGCTTATAAAATAAACAAATAATATTGACAAATTTTTGTTTTTATTTTATTGTGATCACTTGGATGTAAACTCAGATGGAAAGGCAATGTGTCAACTCTGGGCTAGCATTTGAAAGCAATGGTCATGTCTTAGCATTCGAACTTGTTCTGTAACAGAGATTGTACAGATAAGAAAATAGGCGAATAACTCGGGAGGTTAATCTACTCACTAGAAATTTCACTGCTTATGTGATTCCAAAGGTGCTAAGTTTTGAGAAAAATTCTGGCCTTCAATAAATAAGCATCCTGCAGAAGGCTGTGTAGTTATTTTGTTCCATTAAAAACAATTATCTGAAACCTCTAAACTTGATGTCATCTGCCAGCGCATTCAAAAATTTGAAATGAAGTGTCAACTATGTCAGAAATTGGGATATCAAATAACCATATGATTTAAAGATGAGGTCATAAATTAAGTGCAATGGAGCTATTATATCTTGTATCTTTCTTGATCCACAATTGAACAATTTGGTGGTACTTATTATTATAGTCAAGCTCGGATAGAGTCTATGCCACGTTACGCCTTTGCCTTTGCTTTCATGACCTTTATATAAGGAAGAATTAAATAGACATAAATATTTTACTTTAGTCAGTTTAAAAACATATAAATATGGATTATTTAACGAATGTGGCAATTAAAATTATGAAGTGCTAATTATATGTGAATAGAAGCACATGGGTTTGTTTACATATTTTGACCTAGTGACCTAGTTATTCTAGGCAAGCGCAGACAGAAATCTGTCTGGTCATGCGCACTGTAATGTCACTAAAACGTGGCTAAAGTGAAAGTTTCTAACTAAATCGGCGAGACTGAGTAAGACAGTCCATGCTGATGCAATAAATTGTAAGCGATAAGAATCTAACCACAGACGACAAAATAATTAATTGATAAAAGTACTTGTTAGCTTGTGAACAGAAAATATGGAGGACGAAATAGCTAAATACAACGCTAGAGTAGTGAAAGCAGAGGAGGAAATTTTTCGTTTGGAAAAAGAGTTAGACTTGATTGAAAATCCCAAAGCTTTGGCAGAAAGTGGAATCGTGTCACCAATTTTACAGAAACTACAAACTGAAAACCAAAAGTTACTTTATCAATTAAACCACCTGAAGAAGCATTTGGCCGAGCAGAAGTCAAAATCTCCCATTCACATGATTAGTTTGACATCCATGATTGATGATCTGTTCCAAGTGGCAATTCATCAAGCTTACCCTGGCATAGATCTTCCCAAATCTGATGTTACAAGCAGTGCCAAATTTGCAGATTTTCAATGTAACAGTGCTATGAGTATCTCCCAGAAATTGAAAACAGCTGGCACTAAAAGTAATCCAAGAGAAGTCGCCCAAAATATTGTCAACAACTTGCCTAAAGCTGAATGTATTGAAAAGGTTGACATTGCAGGACCAGGATTCATCAATATTTTCCTGAATAAAGAATGGGTTTCACAACAAATATTCAAGCTACTGAACAATGGCGTCCAACCTCCACCAATTGGTAAAAAGAGACGAGCTGTAGTTGACTTTTCATCACCGAATATTGCCAAAGAAATGCATGTTGGTCATCTGCGATCCACTATTATTGGTGAGAGTATCTGCCGTCTGCTAGAGTGGGTTGGTCATGATGTTCTGAGAATTAACCATCTAGGAGACTGGGGAACACAGTTTGGAATGTTGATTGCTAATCTGCAAGATAAATACCCAGACTTTGCCAAAAATCCACCAAGCATTGGAGACTTGCAGAGCTTTTATAAAGCATCTAAAGCACGTTTTGATGAAGATGAAGAATTTAAGAAGAGAGCTTATGCTTGTGTTGTTAAGTTACAAGCACATGATCCAGAATACATCAAAGCCTGGAAATCCATTTATGATGTTTCACGTAAAGAATTTCAAAAAGTGTACGAGAGGTTGGATGTTAGTTTAATAGATCGTGGAGAATCATATTACCAAGAATTAATGAAAATTGTGGTTGAAGAACTGGGGTCAAAAGGTTACACCAAGGTGGAAGACGGTCGAACCATCATGTTTGTGGAAGGTCACCAAGTTCCCTTGACAGTTATTAAAACTGATGGTGGATTTACCTATGATACATCCGATTTAGCTGCTATCAAACAACGTCTAATGGATGAGAAGGCTGATTGGTTGGTGTATGTTGTAGATAATGGTCAAGGTGGACATTTAGAAACTATCTACTCTGCTGCTTTCCAGGTTGGTTGGGCCAATAAATCAGTTCATCGTATTGAACATGTTGGATTCGGTGTAGTTTTGGGAGAAGATAAGAAGAAATTCAAAACAAGATCTGGAGAAACTGTCCGCCTGGTTGATTTACTAGATGAAGGCATTAAAAGAGCTGAAGCGAAACTGAAAGAGAAAGAACGAGACAAAGTTTTGAGTAAGGAAGAAATGGAAAAAGCTAAGGCATCTGTGGCTTATGGTTGTATTAAATATGCAGATTTGTCGCATAATCGATCTCATGATTATGTTTTCTCCTTTGATAAGATGTTAGATGATCGAGGCAATACAGCTGCTTATCTATTGTATGCTTATACTCGAATTAGATCCATTGCTCGACTAGCGAACGTCTCGGAAAAAGAATTAGCGGAAGCTGCTAAATCAACAAAAATAGAATTAGATCATGAAAAAGAGTATAAACTTGCTAAATGTATATTGAAATTCCCCGAGATTATTTTGAAATTATTAGATGATTTGTATTTACATACATTGTGTGATTATCTATATGAATTGACCACATCTTTCACCGAGTTTTATGATAATTGTTATTGTGTAGAAAAAGATAGAACCACTGGTAAAGTTATTAAGATTAATAAGAGTAGGTTATTGTTATGTGAGGCCACAGCTAATGTTATCAGTGCAGGATTTCATATTCTAGGTATTAATCCTTTACAAAGGATGTAGTTCTCTATTTTATATGATCCTAACCTTATAACCAAATGTATGGGTTAATTCTCTACAGAGATTGTGCAAATATCTTTGTTATTTTAGTAGATGCCGTTCCAGAATGGATCTTCTATGAACAGACTTGGCTTTGCCATTTGATAGATTTACTGTATTATTTACCCATGTTTGTTTGGTTTGTACGTAATGTCACCTTTATGTTCATGCACCAATCTAAGATAGGATCAGTTCAAAATTACCTTCAGTAATAAATTGGCTTGTGAAGCTTAAAATTTGTACATGAAAGTGAATTGTAAATGTTACAAGTTTCTTCAATTGTTAAAATTGTTCTGCTTAAACCTCTGATGAAATATTTTCAAATGTTTTGTTTATCCATTAATTTGAACAGTTCATTTCCCTGTATAAAAGCTATGTTCAAGTCTTGTTCTTCACTGTCAATTGTACAGTTTGGATGAGCTGGAGTCCGAAAAAAGTTCTGCTCAATTTCTACTTGTTGCAACCTTTTTCCTACAATAGTGACATGATAATCATTCAGTTTATTAGCAGAGATTAAAAGGAGGCATTGTGCTGTCAATTACCATAAACTTGGCTTTGACCAAAACCCAACACATTTCTTGCCACAGGTGCACTTTAAGCTAACAGTATTTACAGGTTCAGAAAGTGTGGGAGAGGGGTGGGTCTTATGGTTGGATTCCAACCGTTGGAACGATAAGCCAATTAGCTTACCCCACAGATGAAAACTTGGCTGTAATTGGAGAATTAGACCTGCAACTTTGACTCCTTTGCACTGGCAAGTGCTTCTCTAAGCAAAATATTCTATAAGACCCAATACTGCATGAGTTTGACATTGTTACCTCCATTGATATCAGATTCTGTTCATTCAAAAAAATATATGTACGTGTAACTGTTAAAATTGTTTTATATACATAACAATCTACTAATATAACAACAACAGATATAAAAATTACTTAATATATATAACTATAGAAAAGATGTAAAAATGCCTCAAAAATAATTTTGATCAAATTTTAATTTCATGATTTTTTGAAGAATGATAAAAGGGATGGAGCAGTTTTGTCACTTTTAGATTTTTTACTCTTTGAATTCACTGAAGGAGAATGTTTTCTTTTGGTTGAAGTCTGAGATGAAATTGTTAAAATATTTGGTGGAACTTCACGTGTTTGCTGTAATTCCAATGCAAAATGGTAATCATTATGTTCTGGCATTTCCCAAACAGGAATCAGGTTTTGACACTTGGCACATTTCATAAAATCACTTTCATCTAATGCAAAATTACTTATGGGACTGTTATTCTCTACATTTACAACATCTTTATTGTAAGAAGCACCATTTTCCGAACTAGTTTCATTGCCATTTTCAGGAACCACATCATCTGAGGAATGGAATTCATTGTCAGAAAAGTTCTGCTCATTAGATCCACTAGCTAACGTATTATGACAAATATCTATTTGGTCCTTAAAACTTGTAGATGGTTCAGAATAGATTGATGTAGTTGAGCTGTTCGTCTTCTCAACTACTATTTTAGTTTTACTTGAGGAAGGAATTGGAATATTGTTTGTGTCATTTACATTTTCAAAAGTTGCATACCCGAAACTGCTATTGCTTTCATCAGAACACATTTCTTCAGCATTAAAAGGTTGATTCTGGCTTTTAGATGCAAAGAATCCTCTTCCGCCATCTTTTTTCTGAAATGTTCCAGTTTCTGAATCTGAATTGGTAGTTTCTTCAAGATTACGTTTAGATTTTGAGTTTTGATTTTGAAAGAATGAACCAATGGTTCCTTTCTTTGATGTTGACCCTTTGTCCTGAGCAGTTTTTGATGAAAAAAAAATGTCATTTTTGACACTTGTTTCTTTAACACTATCACAGTCAGATGTGTCTTTTGATGATTTCACTGTGTTTTTAGCATTAGCAAACATGGTAGCAATAGTTTGTGTTTCATTTATTTTATCTTCAACAAATTTACCAGCGGATACACTCAGTGTCAAAATAGCAGGAGACCTGAAAATACAGGAAAATAAATCTAGAACACTGAATGAAATCTGCCCTTATCACATGTACAAACTAACTTTGGCTTAGTCAAGGGCAAAAACTCAAAACCATTTATAGAAAGTTGAAGAATATAAAATCTTGCCAAGTCTAGGGCAGTGATTCCATAAAGTTCTAAACATACAACTACCGGTTGTCTGAGATATGGGCAATATACATATTGTCATACCAATGATCATCAAAATTCTAACCCTTAGGTTCTTTGTGTTCATAAGTCAATACTGAATGAAAATTTTCATTGACTCAATAGATTAATTGAGTATGCCATTTAAAATATATACCAATGTATACAATAAAAAAGTTGTCATACCAATGATCATAAAAATTGACTTTTAATCTTTAGGCTCTTTTTGTTCATAAGTCAATACTGAATGAAAACGTTCATTGACTCGATAGATTAATTGAGGATGCCATTTAAAAGATACACCAATGTATACAATAAAAACTTACCAACAATCTTGATGTGGAGGTGAGGTATTGAATTTCTGTAATAAAGCTAGGGAATCATCTCTTATTTTCTTTTCATCATATTTTAATAAGGCACAAGTCCTACTGAATGATTGGTTACCTATTAATCTTACTGATACTGTTAATGTTTTACCTGAACGCTTATTCTGAAAAATAAAAAATGGCAGATATTTAATGACAATGACACACTGACTGTTCCTGATGGTACAATGTGTTATTACATTTAATTACTGTGTGCTAGATGGTGATGAGAACATAGGTCTCATGAAAGCACTGGCCTAGGTCACAAAGTAAAGATTTATGATAAAACAAGGTGCAAGTTAAAGGTTAAGATAATTAGATATGTTAAATAAGGATGTCTCTGTAATACTATCTGTGGTAATATCATTTCTTTAACTGAAATAACTGAAAATATAAGAGTCAACATTCTTCTGCTATCTATTACTGTGTATTGACTAAACACCACTGGCAATTCATATTGTTCAGAAAAGCCCATTGATGATTGCTTTCGGTAAAATTGGCTGATAATATTTCAGGAAGATCACTAGCTGCTTACAATTTTCTGAAAAAACTGTCAGTGAGCCTTCATTGATAACTTACATCTTGCATCACTTAAAATCATATTAAAAAATTTAAAATATTTTCATACATTTTCTTTATCTTTGACTAATCTTTCTGTAACTTCAGCTGATAATTCTGATATCCAATGTTGTACCTAAAAATATGAGATACCAAGTTGATCAACTCAGATGCAAAGAGACGTGAGGTGTGCCCAAAGGATAAGAGTATGCATTAAAGTCGAGCTCAAATAAAAGTTCTAAGAGCATAAAGTTTATAGGTTGAAAATTTCAAGTAATTTTTATATAGTTCTACTGTGAACTTGGTTAAGCTGTAAGATAAAGTAGCACAAACCTTTTTTCTAGTATCTAAACATGTTTTACCAGGAAAATTTTTACTACAACCAATAGATTTAGCTAACTGTCTAGCTGACACTGGTTCATAATCAAACCCTCTACAGATATTATATAACCAATTACTGTAATATAATAATTTATTATACTATACAAATCTATTTCCAATGGTTGCCCTGTTCCATTTGGACATTCATAACCTTTGTTACATTGAAGAAATGCATGAATAATAATATAGTTCAGAATGTTTATCGAAACTGGTACGGCATGTCTACTAAGTTGAGTTTATTTTTAGCTCAGGGAGCATCATAACTGGACACTATCACTCGTTTTATTCTGAATTCATCCAGTAGATAGCTCAATGGAACCAAAAAATGAAACTTAACTGGAAGCCAGTGGCCTTGTGTTTAGTGAAACATGCCACTCAGTTCTGAATGTCTTCCAGATTTAATGATTTACCAGTATATCAACTCTGATTATTATTAAGATACATAAACCATACTGACCCTTGTTTTTCTCCATAATTCTGTATTAAATAATCTAGTGAAAACTGAGTCAATTCACCAATATTTTCTATATTTAATACTTCAACCACTGAATCTCCTAACTTCCCTCCTAAATTACGACTAAAAGAGAACAGGATTAAATCAAATCACTCACAAATGGACAATACATTAAGTGGAATTGAGTTTTACATCCTACATACACCTGATAGGGCTCTAAAGCTCGGTAATGCCTGAATTACATGAGGAAAATTTGCGGCAATACAAGCACAGAGCTTCAGTTTTTCCCATTTTCCCTGACCTGCATCACTTACAGGGAGAAACCTATGCTGGGATCAAACACAGGATGTAGGATAGCTAGCATGTCTTACTTGGTGAGACACTGGCTTCCCCCCAAATACTAGAAGCAAATAATATGTCTACTATAACAATCAAATAAACTCATTGACATGTGATTGCGCTACAGTGAGAAATTTAACTTTGAATGCTAAATAACAATAAGGCTAACTTTGTGTCTGAAAACAATTTTGTATGATATACTTACATTTTACGTAATGGTAATGTAGAAAATAACTGAGGTACTGATTCATGTGGAAATATTGTTTGTTTATTAGGTTTATGCATACCACAAGCCAGCTTAGCTAATATCTAAATTTAAAAGAAATCTTTTCTTATTTATCACAAATATGATCAGGGAACATTTATACACATTTGGCAGAGACAATATCTTTGAATGTTTTAACCTGGTTGTCACTAGTTCAATCATTGAACTTCAATGTGGTTGCCATGGAGAAAGCTTCTTGTCCTCTAAAACACAAACAATAAAGAAACAGTAGATAACAAAGATTTCGATTTTACAAAATAAAAGATACTGTTTGCGACGACAAAATAGAACTAAAACTATCATTCTGAAGTTAAAAATGACTTCCAAGGATCATTGACAATTGACAAACCTTATTGTGAGCTATCCCAGCCGAACATCTAAATCCAGTTTTACTATACACTGCTGCTCTCATTTCCTCTACTATACTAGCTGTTATAGCAAGTCTTATATTATATAGATTAGTCTCTTCATTCTCTAGTATATTAGATAACCATTCTTTTAATCCTTCTTCTCTTGGTGTATCTAATAGATAAAATATAGTTATTATACATTTCGTAAATACATGTACATGTACACAACTGGCCTACTCTTTTAAAATCTAAGGTATATATTCTACATTCCTCAGGGGTTTTGGTAATATTCAAATCACACTACAAGGTACAAAATGAAATGAAATGAATGGAGTTTTACGTCCTACTTTTCTGCACCATGTGGGCTAATGAAGACGGGCAATGCCATGCAGCATGCGATGAGGAAAATTTTGCCAGGACAGCGGTATTAGCCAGCTCTTTTTCGATTTCCAAATGTCGAGGGATCTTTAACGTGCACAGTCTGTAGCACACGGGGCCTCGGTTTATTTTCCCATCCGAACAACTAGACACTTTTTCCATGTCAGCCCCTCTTACATGCATCACTGACAGGGGGAAACCGGGTTGAAAAATCCGAAGGTATTATCTCGACCTATACCAGGATTGAACCCTAGACCTTCAGGTTAGTGATGTATAATGGTGATGTACTATATGCATCACACCCAAACCTGGTGAACTCACATAATCTATTTTCTACTGTAGAATAATCCCAATAATCCCACAACATGCCCTACTGGACACTGTAGCTTATCTAACCACAGTTTTAAACAATGAATCGCTTAAAAAAGCTAGATTTTTTTCTTTTCATCATGTATCCTGCAGTACAATTCCATAAAGATTGTCTGAAACATAATGCATCAAAAATCTTAAATCTTAAACTTTCTCTGAATAAACTGACCTTTTTCATCATGGCCGACAACAAACGAATTGGATAACTTATCAGGAGTTATTTGTGATGAACCAAACTGTTCTAATCTTTTCTCTACTTCTGTTGTCATATCAATATATGCTTCATCTATACTTGCTCTCTCTACACAATCACTAAATTTAGAAAACACTTCGATAACTTCAGCTCCTGCTTCACGATACCTAGAAAAATACACAATATCATTAGTATACATCGAGATCTTGTAATCAATCTCAGTTAAGCCTAGTAAATTTTTATTGTAAAATAATATACAAGTTCCTGTATAAACTCTTGTGTACAATAGTAATACCACAAAATATGAATCTGAATCCACTATAAATATCTCAGACTTATAAAATCAGTGTTTTTCTGCAGAATACACTATATATACCGGGTATATCATACACAATTACAATGTTTTATCAATTTATTGACACAAATATTCAAAATTTTAATACTTCTTTATTTCTCTGCCCTTTTACAATAATAAAATAGTGCTCAATATATCAAGAATAGAGTGATAGAGAAACATTAAAACAGAACCTGAAACATGTTGTTACTCAAGAGTTTTGCACTGTGCAATCTTCAGACAACCTTTCAAAAGGGATCTATATATTTATGTGCACTCTATCAGTTGGGATGTCAGTTTGAATTATATTAATACATTATAGAAATTTACCTACTTAGTGAGATCAGCCTTGCCCCTAACTTCTGGAACATGAACAAGATGTATACTTGGACATTTTTCTTTAGCATCATCTCCCCTCATACTTCTTGTTACACCACAAGCTCTAGCTTCATAACCGACAGCTATAATACTATTGAAATAAAAATGAATAAAATGTTGCCATCAACCAAATCTGATTAAACATTCAGGCGCCAACTCACACTTTCATTACAACAGTGTAAACAATATGCTTGCCATAAACTAATTTCTTCAGTGTTGGACTAAATACTAAATTTTATTGTGAATATAGGCTACTATTTTCCACAAACACTTCTTCATATTCTGCAAAATTCGCAGCTTTATATGATAGCAAGGCAACGACTAAAAAACCAAAATCAATAAACCATCATCTTACCCTCCTCCTTTCCATTTTTTATATTGAACTACAGCACATGGTTTGCCTTTTAAACTTGGATTTAATCTCTGTTCAACTTGAACATAAAAACAGTCCATATCAACTAATACAATACTTCTTTCCATTGTCAACTTTTACTAGATCTACAATGGACAAACAGTTAATGATTAGTAGGCTACCGTACCCTGATTTGTTGTGAACATTATCTCATTATCAGACAGTTTACATTACTTCATTCAATTTCTTTTAAAAGGGGTCTCAACTATGTGACTTAACAAGTCTAAAAATTACAGGGGGGGGGGGGGGGGGGGGGGGGGAAGTATTAGGGGGAGGGGGAGGGGGGGAAGTATTGGGCTTAGCAGTGGCGTTTTTAACCAGGAGCCACTTTCAAATTTTTTATTAATTTACATTGAGAATGCATAGACTGTGAGCCCCCTTGGAAACCTTTGGAGCCCCTACTTGGCTCCCTCATAGATCTAGCTTTATCTAAATTTACCAAAGATCTAGGTTTATGTAAAACGTTTTCTCTAGCCTACGCTTATTATTAGTGACTTCATGGTATAAGACAGTAGAATAATGCACCAACTTCTAGGCCTACTATAGTGTTAGCTCTTGGCCTTTGTGATTTCTTTGGACTAAGCAACTTACAATGTCGATTCTTAATCTTATCGGAAAACTCTTGATGAAATTCTTCTTAGTACATTTACACAAATTTTATATCTCGACCATTAAATGTCAGGGGAGATAATAACAAAAATAAAGTTTATACACCTAATCCGACTCCGAATTGAAGAGTTTAGAAAAAGGCGGGAAATGGGGCATGCCTTTCGCAGCTTGCAAAGTCGTGAACCAGAGTGCCACGCTTTGAATGATAATATGCTATTGTACTTGGAATAATAACAGACATCTATTTCAGTTTGTATTGAAGTTGAAAGGGATTGGGGCTATTGTAATCGTAGAATGGTGATGGTCCTCAGATAATAATGAATTGAAAGTCTAGGCCTAACGCCAAATAATGACTCGAGCCTACACTCTCTAGGCTACCTACGACGGTGAAAATAATCAGTTGTCTGTGGTAATAATAGATCTCAACATTAACAACAAAATTGGTGAAATGTGTCTTAAACTTACAATTTAGTTTTAAAAATCAACTTCGTGCACACTCGATAAAAGATTCCTTTGAAAATATGTTCAATATTTGCACAGAAGATGATCACTAAAACGGTTGATATCTGAATAAGCTTACTTCAGAAGTTGAACGAACATAGTCCTATGTTGGTCAGTTGTGATCTGACATTAGTGGATCACATAGGGCCTAAAAAAAGAAGTTGCAATTCCATTAGCAGTCACTTCATTGAATAATTTAGGAAAGTTCTCTAGAGGCCCAATACAAATTATATTTGTGGACAATATTAGGCCTATCCCTATGCTGTATATAGCCTTATTGTAAGTCGTCGATGGGAATAAAATGGGAATGTTTTTGTGTTATTTCACAAATGTTTAAACTTACATTTTGCACGCTATAGTTTAAACATAGGCCTACTTATTGTCCAGAAATGAACCCACATTTCTGACTGAAAATGTATGCAAAGATTGGCATTTTCACCAGCTCAAGGACAGTGTTTCAAGTCCCAGTATTGTTTGGAGTTGGTATTTCATTTCATCAAAAATGGTTGTCAAAATACAATTCTAGGAACAATGTGGTTGGGCAGTAAGTTTTGAAATGGAACTACATTTATCAAAACTATTTACAAACACATAGGTCAGGGACAGATTCTGTTTGATAGTGCATGACACGACAGATATATTTATATTGACAACAAAAGGGATTAAATTGAGTCACATACCAATTATCGAACAGATAACGAAAATGTGGCCGTAAATTCCGTTGGTCTAAAATCTATTTCAAAAGAAAATGGCAAAATATCAGTCTATATTTATAGACAAAATGAGAAAATCTGGAGACCATTTCAAATATCTAATTGTGTGTTGTATATTCGACTTATTGTTGTTTATTTGACCTATTTGAATCATTTTTTCCTGATCACCAACGCAAATATACAATAGGGTCTTGTTAATGTTGGCTACATTAACGGGCTACACGTATCAGATACTGAGCCAGAAATGACCCCCATTTAGTCAGTGGAAGGAAGTCCTACGAATTGACGTGGATCAGTCATGTGATGCCTAAGCATTGTAGAAGTAGAAGAAAGAATGGACAACCCCAATAAAGAATTCAACCAATAGCAGAACACCTTTTATTTTAACGATTAATTTGGTATGGACCATTCGTAGCATGCGAAACAAAGCGACGCGTTAAACCGTATTCTAATACACAGTTAGTACACGATGTAAACAAGAAGGAGCGCCAGGCAACCTAGTTAAGTTCATGCGGTGATAAATTCTATATATTGAATATAACGGCATTCTGTGGCGGTTTAAACCAGTCTACACCCGATGTCAACGTAGAGAATAGTTAGTTAGGGGGTGCTTTAGTATAGCATATGATCGTTATCCAATAGGCCAGTCAGAGGAGGCCTGCTAGAAGTTTTCAAAATGCAACTGTGTGGTAGAACGAATTTGGTGATGAAAGGTGCTATTGCAACACAATGCAGGTTTTTTCGAAAGTTTGACAGATCATGGAGCCCTGAGGTCCCTGGATCTGATTATGTGGCAGATGATTACAAGGGAATGAGCTATGAAGACACTTTGAAAGTAAGGAAAACCAAATTAAGCCCTGCTTTGATGACCTACTATAAGAAACCCGTTATGATTCATCAAGGGAAGATGCAATATTTGTTTGATAATAATGGAAAAAGATACCTGGATTTGTTTGCTGGAATTGTTACAGTAAGTGTTGGCCATTGCCATCCGAAGGTTAATGCAGCAGCTACTGAACAGATAAAAAAATTGTGGCATACTACAAATATCTACCTCCATCCAACAATTCATGAATATGCACAACAATTAACTGATAAGCTGCCAGGTGATCTTAAAGTAGTATATTTTACCAACAGTGGATCAGAATCTAATGATTTAGCTCTTCATATGGCTAGATTATATACTGGTGTGTTTGATACAGTTTCTTTAAGAAATGCATATCATGGAGCTAGTCCTTATTTAATGGGATTAACAGCGATGTCAACTTGGAGATTTAATACACCAACTGGATTTGGTATACATCAAGTTATGAATCCAGATCCATATCGCGGTCCTTGGGGTGGAAAGAATTGTCGTGATTCAATCTCACAAACTGACAGAGACTGTGATTGCAATCCGGATGAGTGTAAAGCCTGTGATATGTATATTGATCAACTTCAAGATGGACTAAGATTTTCCATGCCTAAATCCAAAATTGGTGGATTTTTTGCTGAATGTATTCAGGGAGTTGGTGGGACAGTGCAATATCCTAAAGATTACTTAAAAAGAGCTTATGATCTAGTCCACGCTCAAGGTGGTGTTTGTATTTCGGATGAAGTTCAAACTGGATTTGGCAGACTTGGCAGCCACTTTTGGGGATTTGAATCGAATGGGATTCAGCCTGATATAGTTACAATGGCCAAAGGCATGGGAAATGGATTTCCAATGGGTGCAGTTGTCACTACACCAAAAGTGGCCGAAGTAATGGGAACAGCTCTTCATTTCAATACATTTGGTGGTAACCCTGTAGCATGTGCTGTTGGTTCAGCTGTTTTAGATGTTATCAAAGAAGAGAAAATCCAAGAAAATTGTGAAGAATTAGGATCATATTTTATTAAAGAGCTTGTTGGATTAAAGTCTGAGTTCAAATGTATAGGAGATGTTCGTGGTAAAGGATTAATGATCGGAGTTGAAATGGTTGAAGATAGAGAAAGTCGCTTGCCTTTAAATGGAAAGGCTATGGCTGATATATGGGAAGATACCAAAGAAAATGGGCTCCTCATTGGGAAAGGTGGTTATTATGGAACTACTTTCCGTATTAAGCCACCTATGTGTATTAACAAAAAAGATGTTGATTTTTCTATTGAAGTTTTGCGTAATTCTATCAAGAAGGTCATGGGCTAATTTGAGAAATAGTATAGATTAACAAAGTCTGTTTTTTGAACAAATGATCCTTCCTTCCTTATGCAAACAAATTTTAAGAGCATGAGGGTATCAGGATGATTAAAATTAAGTTTTATGAATTATATTTTTATTAGCATTGAGTTCTTATTTAGGCTTAATGCAGTCTGATATACTTCACTGCCTTTATTTCTCTTTTATAAAGAATATTTGTTGTAGATGTTATCCCTTGTTGGTCCATGTACAACTTTTGGACCAAAGATGTGTTTTTACTATTCAATAATTAGGCATACTTAATGCGGAAAAAGACAGCGTATGGTGTTCGATGTGGATTAGCGATACAGTAGAAAATAGTAGAAGCGAATCTTGTTTTCTCATTTCTTCTTTGTTCAACTGTACCATTAATCTCACACCTGATACTATACTTGCATATTCTCGGCTTCAGGCATAAAGTGTTCGAATAAATTGGCACAATCTAACATTTAATAGATTCAGTTGACATTAAATCCTTTTAATTTACTTATCAAATTTACGTGTATTTTTTAACTTGATATGACTCCAATTACAGATTAAAATATATACTTATTACCATCCATTATTGATATGTATGTAGTGAATAGTTGAAACAAAACAAAAAAGATTGATATACCTCTTCTTCTATCTGTATTCTTGTTTATAAAATCTAAATTGAAGGTCGAATTACAACATTCCAAAGATGCTCTCCATGTAATTGTGATCAAGATTAAATGGTTTTCTAACTTCTGACCAGTCATTTATGGCCACATTATGGTCTTCAGCAATCTCTTATTTTCACCTTAAGTGTTTTTCTCTTCGGCATAATTTTTATGTTAATTTTTTATATTTCCTCAATTTTACACTCAGGTGTCATTTGAATAAACAAATTGCATGTAGAGAGAAGTATTCCATGTTTTAATGGGGTATACTAGGATCATTATGGTACTCAAAACAAATATGCAACAAGAAAATAATGAAATCAAAATGATAATTAAAGATATGTTATATACTAGCAATCATGGATACCATTGACCATTGTGAAAATGGCAATTTTCTTGCAGACCATTTCATTTTTAAGATTTGAAAACTGAAATATCTGCTATGTGTTAACATTTCAAATCTTAGTATGCATTCATTAGTGTTTTGTGGTGTAATGAAATGTCATACGAAAACTGCAGACGAAAAAGAGCTGACAGCTGCATTCAGTAATGATCACATGATGAAAAGTGTGATTTAATTAGAAGTTGTTTACCACATAGTTATTTGAGCAAAGATGAATATGATAATGGTATTGATTTGAACAAAATACATTATTTTCTTTTAATACTGATATTTACACCATTCTGATTTTCCCACTGAAGTGGATTATTTCTTAATTCCAGAAAAAGGCTTGATCACATTGTGCAGTCATTATTTTGAAACTGTATTTAATGTCATAGTGACATCATTCGACTGAGATTCTTTCATTAAACGGTATAAATAGAGCTATAGCTGCCCCATACCAAAGCTATTGAGTACAACAATATTTTTGATGCATCAGCACATTATAATGCAACAAAACATAGATAGCTTTGAAGATAAATTTGTTAAGATGTCAAGGATTTAGAATTATGACACTTACAAGTACATGTATATCATGATGTGCACATCAGATGTAATACCAAGCCCATTTCTAGAAAGTGATTTCAATACCGAAGAGCATTCTTCAAATGTATTAAAATATCGTGAATGATTACTCGACCTTGATCTATTGACTGACAAAGATGTTTACCAACTCTTGAACGACTTCTTTATGTTTATTTTTATGATAATCAGCAAATGTCATTGAGGGTCATCATACTCAAATCTGATGTTTTGAATTTTATGTGCTTGGTTTTGTTTTAAAACTTTAGGTTTCTAACCTTATAAATATATTATATGAATATAATATGCACTGTATCAGTGCAATAAGTAGTATTATACATTATGTATACAGGCATGAATAAAAATTTATTCTTAAGTTATTTTTTGTGTTTTTAGTAAACTTATGCAATGAATATTTTTCTGTCGAGATGCCAGTACTTTAATGAGTACTATATTAAAAGTAACTTGATATAAGTGTACTTGCATGTTATGCAACATCAAAATTTTATCTGAAAAACATACCTTATGAAATTATGCCAGTTTCTATGGATTTGAGCCAATGATGAAATTTTTAATAACATTACACTTGCAGCGAAATGAAATGAATTTGACATCCTACTTTTCACAAGCTGAATCTTATCTCATATTAAAACTAGAGCTAAAATGATATTGAAGCTGCAGTGGCTCAATCAGTTAAGACACTTGCTCACAAATCTGAAGGTCCAATCCCATAGCATAGGTCGAGATAATACTATCAGATTTTTCTACCTGGTTTCCCCTTGTCAGTGATGCCCTGTGTGCTATAGGATGTGCATTTAAAACGCTGCAGTTGGAAAAAGGCTTGATTGAAACCACAGTCCTGGAAAAATTTCCTCCATTGTATACTGCATGGCATTGCCCATCTTCATTAGCCCAATAAGGTGAAGAAGTGTAGGATGTAACACTCCTATTTTTTTAATTTTAGATATTTATATTATTTAACCACTAAATAAAACATCTTGTTATTATATTAAATGATTTGTTGTCTGTAGCAAAGATAAATTTACCCATATAACTATTTACTTCCCTTTATATATAGTAGGCCTACATTATTTCATAGATCACCATTCGGTGAACACTGTAATCAATCTAGTAACTGACTACTTTTATCTGTTAAGCTGATGGTATTGCATATGAGACTTCCAATTTAAAACATCTTGTTATTATATTAAATGATTTGTTGTCTGTAGCAAGAATAAAATTTACCCACATAACTATTTACCTGCCTTTATTACATTATCTCAAAGATCACTATTCAATGAACACTCTCAGCAACCCAGCAACTGACTTCTTTTATCTGTTATCCTGGTGGTATTGCACATGAGACTCTTCCAATTTAAAACATCTTGTTATTATATTAAATGATTTGTTGTCTGTAGCAAGGATAAATTTACTCACATTACTATTTACCTCCCTTTATATATAATACATTATTTCAAAGATCACCATTCAATGATCACTCTCAGCTATCCAGCAACTGACTGCTTTTGTGTGTTATCTTGATGGTACTATACATAAGACTTTTCCAGCTTTATTCATGGTAGGTTACTTTATTCACTAAGCCCGTTCTGATGTCTAGGTCTCCAATTTATTTACAATTATGCTGTAGGACTATCGGTAGGAGAATTATCACTGACTGAATATGAATTTGGAATAATATTTCTCACAAATTGTCCATGAGCATAATATGCCGTCACATGCGATAAGGCTCTCATCAAAAATAATTCTATGACAATAATTCTTATTTTTTGAAAATATTTCTATCCAAAGTAGACCAACAATATCAATAGTTTGAGATGATATTCTTCTTTGACAAAATGTGATTCAGAAATGAGAAACTGTAATTATATAAAATCCTGAAGAAAGACAAAAACATTTGGTGGACTTTATCCCCTTAACACCCATATATTCATATATCATATATTTTGGTATCGTCCCAAAGTGCGACAGGTAGTATCTCAGCTGTTGGTAAACTGATCCCTTTTAAAATCCTCACAGATATACTTCAAGATGTCTTTGAACAACCCTGAAAATATGAAAGTCTTGAAACAAAAATTGTAGGCTACAAGTACTGCCTTGAACAAAGTAGCCAAAAATATCAAAAAAAACATAAACAACCCAATATATCCATATAATAAATACTTATACTGAAAAAAGAGTCTGAAGCAAAAGTTGCCAGCTTGCTCAAAAAAACAGATATCACAATCTTTTAATTTTGACAGAGGTGCGACTCAGGCTCCTTTTCTACACAAGGACTAAGGCAATCTGTAAATTGTTATAAATTTTACAACACATAATATTAACAGTAATATCTTAAACCTTAAAATCTAAAATCTTATGATCAGATTTGATGCAGATTTGGTGCTGATTAAACCTGATGAATTCTTTTCCTGTAACTTCTGGGTTAATGAATCATCTACACAAAAATCATCTCCTAATTTCATAAATTACTTTCTTGTCTTGTATGAGAGGTTGGCAGGTAATTCAAAGCATCTCATACCCCATTGCAGTAGACATAAAGCCCCCTCCCTCTCCCAAATTTACTAACTACTAACAACTGCAATCAGTTAATATAAAGTACCGGTACAAAAAAAGCAACTGGAGCATTTGCGCTTTTTCAGTTGTCGGTCAACTAGAACCAGCTTTCCATCAGATTCTTTCTTTCAGATGCCACCAGTTGCAAGCAGTCTTTGAAAATTCAGTTGTTTTCAGATACAGCTAGACATACAGTCTACTCGAGTTCACAATATAAGCTGATATCAATCATCTTTTTGTATGAAATTGAAGAAACTATTGATGATAGATGTTGATGAAGACACAATGAAAGATGTAAATATGATATCAGATAAATATACTGATATAGAAATCTATGTAATTATATATATTATACACATGGTATTATATATATAGATAGAACTGACTATTTACTAACAGAGTACCGGTCATATCATTAGTAGGTATATCATAACACATTTTAATATACCATGTTTCAACACCCTATCTTTTATCACCTTCATTGGCTTGTTAACATCACAGGTGAATAAATTCTGGTTCTTACATCTGATATATACTCAGTTACTTACATGTTGTTATTTTTACAAGAAGATTCATAGAACTATTTTTGTGCCATAGAAAAAATGCCTGAAAATGTGCTAATTTCTGAAATTTCTCAAGAATTACTACAATATCTTTTCAACCACCCTAATTTCTAATCTTGCAAAGGCCAGATCTAATTTTTAACAATTATTTTTTGTTTTAAACATAATTTTAACCATGTGCCAGTGCCTTCTGCCGAATAGTAACTGATTACAAAATAACCTGGTGCT